GACAATATTTTATCTTGTTCTGTTCAGCAATAGCTTAAACAGAATGGTAATTATATTTTCTTTGAAAGTTTAAAAGAAATTGCCTAGAAAAAAATCCTTTGGGTTGAAACCCTTTTTGAGCTAAATCTTTGACAATCTTCGTGTTTTATCCTGAAGTATTAGATTTTATCAGGTATTCTATTTCCTGTTGAGTTAATTTTAGTAGTTTATATTTTACTACAAATAGATTTGTTTATTGTAATTAACAATTTACCATACTAGAGTTTTAAGACATTCTTTTCCAAAGTTAAACCCAAAGTCCCTTGCTCATTTGTAAATGTGGTGTATATTTATATTTCTTCTTCTAAAACTAAAAAGAAGTTTATTTATTTGATGTTATTCCTTTTTTTTTTTTAGCAACAGTGACAAACAACAGTTGAGTTTGTCATTTGAACTGTTACTGTCTTTATTGAAAATAATGTCTATGCTTAAGTATTTACCATGAAGTGCTGAACCCAGTACTGTGCTCATCTATTGACACACATTATCTCATCTGTTTGCAACAACCCTAAGGGGTGCATTCTCTTAATCCGCATTTTACATAGCAGAAGACTAATTATTAAGGAGGCCGACTAACGACCCCTCTTCTAGAGAGTGGGGAAACTGAGATTCAGCTCCCAGCTCTCTGTCTCCTAGCCTTGAGCTCTTCATCTTACCATGCCGCTTTTTCCCTCAATTTCTTTTTCACGTTTTCCTTTGATTACTTTGTGCTGTTCTTAATTCTTGAGTTTAATGTTAACTTTCATTTTTCTTATTTATTAGTAAAGCCATTTATGGCTACATATTTACTTCCAACTCCTGCTTTATTATCCTATGTTTTGCTATGTGGAATTCTCCATGTCATTTTTACCGAAGAGTCTAAAGCTGCATTTTCTACTTCTTTTTGACCTGAGTTATTTAGGAGAATTTTCTTTTTCCAGTAAGTAAGGTTTTTTGTATTGTTGTTTATATATTTGTAATGTCAGTTTTATTGTGTTGTGATAAAAGTGTTATATTTACTATTTCTACATTTTGGAATTTACTGAGTTTTTATTTGCTATTAACATAGAGTTTGTTTTCATAAATATTCAATAGATTTTTAAAAGATGATGTATTTTCTGTGGGTGAGCACTATTGTACCTATTCAATATTTTTTTAATGTATTTTTGAATTCTTCCTATACTAGATTTGTCAAATATTGTCATGGGGTGAACTGTTTCCTAAGAAAATTGACTTTCTGGCCGGGTGCAGTGGCTCACGCCTGTAATCCCAGCACTTTGGGAGGCCGAGGTGGGTGAATCACCTGAGGTCAGGAGTTTGAGAACAGCCTGGACAGCATGGTGAAACCCCATCTCTACTAAAACACAAAAATTAGCCGAGCGTGGTGGCATATGCTTATAATTCCAGCTATTCAGGAGGCTGAGGCAGGAGACTCCCTTGATCCCGGGAGGCAGAGCTTGCAGTGAGCAGAAATCATGCTGCTACACTCCAGCCTGGGCAACAAGAAAGAAACTCCATCCCAAAAAAAAAAAAAAAAAAAATCAAAAATTGGCTTTCTGGGACTATCCTTTTGTTTTCAACAATTCTTGTATTATTTATGTCAATACTATGCTATTTGTTTACAGAAAGCTGCATTATTATTATAGCTACATTGTGGCTATATATATTTTATAAATATAAAACGATACTCTCCTGTCATTCCTAATTCTTTTAGTCTTAAACTTTGAAGTTAATATTGTCAACTCTATTCTTTTTGTTTGAATGTTTGTATATATTTTTGTTTATTCTTTTGCTTTTAGCCTTTTTTTCACTTTCACTTGTGGACTTTTAGCCTGTTTATATTCAATTCTGAATATGATGCTTGCAGATAGAATACAGTTTGATTTTTTTCGTTAAATTTGAGAGTCATTTTGTTAACAAGAAAGAGGAACACATTTGTGTTTTCTATTTGTTTCTTGTATGTTTGATTTTTCGTCTATTGTAGGATTCTATTATTGTATAATTCCTCTCTTTTTAAATTTTTTTTTTTTTACTTTTCTCTTTTGGATTATTTTTTCATGTTTTTATGCTCTTTATGTATTGGGATTTACACACAATGTTGTTGTTTTCTTTTCTGATGCCTCTGCCAAGGGCATCCATGAGATGCTGCTTAGCAACGCCCACCAAGCACACCACGCATCCTCTCAGGGAAGCTGTTCTGAATACTCCCGGCATCCAACACAAGGGGTCCTAAGGAAGGTGCTCCACTCTGTCCTACTGCCTATTCTCACTTCCAGCTTCAAATTGTGAGGAGGGGTGATTGAAATTCTCCCAGGGTCTCCTGCAATTATTCCCTAAGATTTTTTTTCCCCAGGAGTGTTGCTTGTAACTGATCTTTGATTGCTTCCATCAGTCTCCAACCATGTAAACTATAGCATGATTTTATTTCTAAAAAATATTATCATGTGAATGGCATCCTTCCTTAGTCTTCTGCTGTAATGTAGATTTTCTTCTGTTTTTTAAAAAATTTTATTTTATATTTTTTGAGACAAAGTTTCACTCTGTCGCCCAGGCTGGAGTGCAGTGGCGTGATCTCTGCTATTTCAGGGGAGACCTGATATGCATTGAGAAAGAGAATTACGTAGGCCGGGCACAGTGGCTCACACTTGTAATCCCAGTGCTTTGGGAGGCCAAGGCGAACAGATCACCTGCGGTCAGGAGTTCGAGACCAGCCTGGCCAACATGGCAAAACCCCTTCTCTACTAAAAATACAAAAATTAGCCGGGTGTGGTGGCGGATGCTTCTAATCAAGCTACTCTGGAGGCTGAGGCAATGAGAATTGCTTGAACCTGGGAGGTGGAGGTTTCAGGGACCTGAGAATGTGCCATGGCACTCCAGCCTGGGTGACAGAGTGAGACTCCATGTCAAAAAAAAAAAAAAAAAAAGGGAGAGAGAGAAAGAGAATTAGAGGCCATTCCTCCAGTGTATGTGTGTGTTTTTTACAAAAGTCTGATCAATCTGCATTTAGAGTATCTGCAGGGCACCTAGAGACAGAGATCAAGACAATTAGTGTTTAAATATATGGATCTGAGACTTAGAAGAGATCTGAGTTAAAAATGTAAGTTTAGGAGACACCAACATGTAGTGGAAATCAAACCATGGAAATGGGGGAGACTGCCCTCAGAGCAGTAGTTCCAAAATCTTGCAGATCATCAGAACATGCAGGACCCTCAGTCCCACCCCAGAGATTCTAATTTACCAGGGCTATGGTGGCACCAATAATTTATACTCTCTTTTTAAAGCTTCCATTGAAGGCCTGGTATGGTGGCTCACACTTGCAATTCCAGCACTTTGGGAGGCCAAGGCAGGAGGATTGCTTGAGGCCTGGAGTTCAAGAGCAGCTTGGGCAACATAGTGAGCTACTGTCTCTACAAAATTTTTTTAAAAGGTTGGCCAGGTATGGTGGCACAGGAATGTAGTCCTAGCTACTCAGGAAGTTGCGGTGGGAGAATTGTTTGAACCCAGGAGGTTATGGCGAGCTATAAATTGCACCACTACACTCCATCCTGGGTGAGAGAGCCAGTCTTTGCCTCTATTTATTATTACTAATTAATTATAATAAATAAAGCTTCCACTTAAATATTTCTAAAATTGAATGTTAAGTGAAAAACTCATAGGACAATGCTCCCAGTATAGCACTATCTATGAAAGAAATTTTATGTCTATGGATATGTCTATGTTTGTGGGGATGGGAGCAGAGACAGCAACTGAAAAAGTGATGTTGAAGTCATGGTGAGGAAAGGGTGGGGTTGCTGATGACAAACATGCACAAAGTGAGGAGACAGAGACAGTTGGACACCAATGCACATGATTGTGGAATGTTCTCCTTGTTGCTCAGAAACCTGAGCGCAGACATGGAGATGATGGGTGGCTGGATCAATAGAGTTGGGTGAAGCAAAGGACAATAGTAGGGCACCAAGGGCCGGACAATCTGTGGCTATGTGACCGTAGCCCCTATCCTTTTGACTTTCTGCTCTCTGAACTTATTCCCAATACAGTTGCTCTTGACCTCAAGATCTCTAGTACCTTAGAGCCACCCAACCCTTAACCTGGAATCCAAGGGCTATACTCAGCCATCTCTTGCTACTGGCCCTCAGGAAATTCAGTAACTCAGTTTCTACTACTTTGTATGGCCCTTTGGTCCTACCCAGACTTTGTTTAATGAAGAGCTTGTTGCCCTAACAGCTAGGAGTGCTATCAGCACACAGACTTTCACTGCCAGGCCCTTGGGGGTTTGCCTCTGCTGCACAGAGCTGCCCCATGCCCACTCCCTGCCCCAGAGGTCACACCCCTTCCCAGGCAGCCCCCATGCAATAACTGATAAAAGCAGAGTACAAAAGCCTGGCCCTCTCTGCCCTGCTTGGGACAACTCTCTGTAGGGTCAGCAGAGGCTGTCGTTGGGCCTGCATCCCAGCTCACTGCTTACCTCTGTGTTTCCTGTTTCTTCCCCTCCTTCCCTCAGGTGTTAATCCCCAGGGGATCATGCTAAACTTTGTCTCAGAGTCTGTTTCCCAGGGGACCCAACTTGCAGCAGCCCAGAAAGAAACAAGAGCCAGAACGTCCTGCTAAAGAAGTTGTATTACTTCTCACTTTTCCCAGAGACCCTCAAGTATTTCAGAGAACTGTCAGGCCCACCTGAAGCTGAGTTTAGGCATTTGGATTTCAGTGCTCAAGAGAGAGGGTTTTATCGAGGGCAGAGTTAAGCACAGTGGCCCTGGATTTGGAATAGGGATAACCAGCTGCCTAAGCTTTGCTGATGGTCTCCTTTTTCTCTGGCCATCCTTCTGAACAGAGAGGCTGGGTTAGGAAGTCCTGATCTTGAATCCTAGCTTTAAACAACTGTAGATGAGGCCACTGATTGAAATCTTCAGGCTCACATCTGATATGCCATTGCACCACAATTTTAGTGACTGGAAGTAAAAACATGACCTAGACGCAAGCAATTGAATTTGAGTGCTTTTATTTCAGGTTCATATTTTCCCATATATGTTTTCAGTTAGAATGAACAGTCAAAACATGTCAAGGAGCAAAATCAAGCCATTCATCAGAAAAACAATATTTTCATTGGTTTGTCAATATGATTAAGTATTATAGATGTACTAACAAAAATGAAAAAAATCAGTATCTGTATATTCCAAATTTTACAAGTTTTTCAACTTCACATTTTAATTATTCTTTTAAATCCATACAATCACTATAGAAAGTAACTAAATATATGATTCAGGATATATTTCTTAATAAGGGTTTGAAAATTGGTGGCACTTAGTTTTCAAGTACTCATCTATAAAGATTTCATCTGTACTAACCATTTAATTAGAAAAAATATGCAAAGTAATGCTGTAATGGAAATTTCAAAGTATTTGATAGGGAGTACAATTAAAGTTTATACATTGAGAATAGAATATATTTCATTTCACTGGAGTATATGGTGTCTTCTAATCTAGTTAATATACTTTTCAGGCAGCAGCAAATTTAAGCCATATGTTATCAATGATCGCTCAGATCACTTTAAGTATATAATCTGTTACATTAAATAACCTTATTTAGGTAACTGCTTTGAACATTTTGTAGACTCAAGTACTTCTTAAAGTTTTGAGTTATTGATTTTTAAATCTGCTTTGTAGGTATAAGCATCTGAGGGGGCCAAGCATAATTATGTTCTCCAGCCTATTGGTCTTTTCCTTTGATAACCACCTGTGGTTACTATGCCAGCCTGTCAATAAGCATTTATTGAGATCCTGCTGTGGGGCTGAGACCTATACCAGGGCTGAGGAGCAAACACTCTGGAAACAAAAGATTACGTTTGTCTAGAGAAGTTTACAATCACATTGGTGGTTTTCATGAGCATAAGCTAACATGAATTTCCTTGATTTTCGTTTTTATCAACAGCAGTGACAAAAATGTTTTTCTAGGGATAGCGTTGGCTTTGACAACCCCTTAAGCTGAGAAGAGAAAAAAAAGCTCGCATTAACTGATAAATATTATGCAATGTATGTAGAATCTGGTAGGATCATCTCCAGAGGTTTGCATATCCACAGATCAGATTACAACATAAAGTACTGGAACATGTTTCTTAATTATGCATATACATTAAGGTAAAATGTATTCTAATCTTTCATGTTTTAAGAGTAAAATGTCAAGACATTTTTGTGATTTCCTCTAACTAGTAAGACAGGTGGGAGGTTCTTTGTGAGGATTTCCAACCAAGCCATATACAACAAATCCGATATGGATCCCTTTCTTGCCACTGGAAGACTCCTAATGACATGAAAGAAAAATTTAAAAATGAAAGTGAAAATTACTATAGGTAGTAACAGTACTAATATTTACTAACTGGCAGCCTTAACTTTTAATTTAAATAGTTAAATAACTTAACTATTTAATAACTGGCAGCCTTAACTTTTACCCCACCCCAAGGTGAAAGCACCGAAATTATTTTTACTGTAGATAGCAAACTGATGTATTTTTCAGGTAATACTATCCATAAACCAGAAAAACAGGCTTAGGTATTGTAAAGACAAAACAAACATGTACATTTTCACTTTTCTTTAAATAGGGAATTTGATTAGCTGATACCTGCCCCCCTTTTTGGTATAAATGATTTTTTCCAATAATTTAAATATCTTATATTTGGGAAAAACCTCCAAAACCATCTATTGGAATCCTACCACCCAATCCAGGAGACAATTCTACAATGTCTTTGATGGATACTTTTCCAGTCTACACTATGTGAAGATATATTTATCTTTATACATAGGAGTCAATTTGTCAGGTATAAATGTGAAGTACTTGGAGGTTTTCTTGTTTAAATACCAATCTTTAAGTAAACAAACATACATTTTCAGTAGATGCGACCCTAACATTTGTAAGGCTAGAGTGTGAAGAGTGAAAATGGAAATGGCTCTGCCTTTTTCTCCTACCTGGGCCTCTTCCTACACTACAGGGAGCCTCGTGAACCTGCCATGGGCACAGTGGCTCAGGGACACCCACCCAGGGAAGGGGCCCGTGAGCTGTGGTGGCTGACTTGTGGCTGTTACTAGATGGGCACACACCTCTTCATAAGGCATGGTGGACAGCAAGTCCAAGTGAGGCTCTGATGCTTATGGGCCTGAGGGGTCAAGGTCACAGGGTGGCACTTATCTTCCTTCACTGTCTAAGAAAGAATCCCACGTGTTCCAAAAAAAAAAAAAACCACACACATGCACACACACACAGACAGACACACACACAAACAAAACAAAATTCCCACCTGAAGAGTCATCAGCTTTTAAATGGATTAACCCATTAAGCCTAAGATTTATTTCTAATGTTCTTCAATGCCTGCGATGATACTTACAGGACAATGAGATTAGCAGCTCTGGAGTGCTCCTGTAAGAGTTCATTCAGTCGAACTTGGCGGTAACTCTGTGGGCAACATTCAGATTTGTTGAGTACAGTTCTACCAGAATTATGAATGAGAATTTATTTTCTTAAATCATGAACAAGCGGAAAATCTCATCTTAAAAAATGTGTCAAAATTACAATACTTTTTCAGGCTTAGAAACTTAACGGTGTTTTAAAACCTCGTGAGAAATTTTAGAAATATAAAGAATAAGACACAGTACAAAGATTTTCATTTTGCTATAGTGGCTTATTAAATTCTAGGGAGAGGGGAAGCAAACAACATAGATAATACCAAAAAGAAGGTGTTTTCTCCTACCCTGGCCTCTTCCTACACTACAAGGAGCCTCATGAACCTGCTATGGGCACAGTGGCATGTGCCCATGCCCAGGCACAGTGGAATGGCCAGTTTGAGGCAATAGGTTTTCTGTTTAAAAAACTTGATCGAATCTTGATACCAATTTGATACTCTAAGAATATAGATTGTATTCTAGTCTGCCTTTCTTTAAGCTCTCTGAATATTCTGTAAGCAGAGGGGGCTGGCTTCAATTAAAAAGCCACCAAAAGACTCACTTGGAAAAATAACCACTTTGCAGTGATGAGAGTAATGTTTACTATTGTATTTCACTGGTTCAGAAACCAAGGCTCAGATGCGTGATTTGCTCAATTATATGATAAAACTTGGTCAGAACTGGGCAGCTTATGACACACAGCCTTTATGATGATTCTAGTTCAATCTCTTTTTTTCACTAAATCTAAAAGGCTTTTAGTGTTTCTTGCTCAAATTTTTCCAAGTTCAGTTCCTAATGTAGTTGATGTAGGGCATGGTGGGCAGTCAGTCCAAGCGAGGCTCTCTGAGGCTCGTGGGCCCCAGGGGTCAGGGTCTCAGGGTGGCCCTTATCTCCCTTCACTGTCCAAAATCCCACATGTTCCAGTAAAATAAAATCCTATCTGAAGAGTTATGAGCTTTTAAATTGATTAACCCATTCATCCTAAGATTTCTCTCTCTCTTTTGTTTTTTTAGACAGGGTTTCACTCCTGTCATCCAGACTAGAGTACAGTGGCACGATCTCGGCTCACCTCTGCCCCCTGGGCTCAAGTGATCCTCCTGCCTTAGCCTCCCAAGTAGCTGGGACTACACACATGCTACCTCACCAGGCTAATTTTTATATTTTTTTTGTAGAGGCGGGGTTTCGCTCTGTTAACCAAGCTGGCCTTGAACTCCTGAGCTCAAGCAATCCTCCCACCTTAGCCTCCCAAAGTGCTGGGATTACTCTCTTCCCACACAAGGCAAACGGTTCTTAGACCAAGGAAAATAACTCCTTCCAGCCTCACAGGCCCATTCTATTCTGTAGTCATTTCATAACCTCTTCCATCTAGGTTACAAGGCCGCTAGCCCGTCTCTTAGAACCTCTCATTTCCTTTCCAGCGTAGAAATCTATCCTCAAGGAAATCACTTCTCAGTGTTCCATCTGCTATTCTACTACTCCTCAAGGATTGTTCAGGCCCCCTCCCTTTCCTACACGTCAAGCTTGGGGATTTGCCCCCACCCAGGACTAGCAAATTGACTTTACTCACATGCCTCGAGTCAGGAAACTAAAACACCTCTTGGTCTGGATAGACACTTTGACTGGATAGGTAGAGGCCTTTCCCACAGGGTCTGAGAAGGCCACTGTGGTCATTTCTTCCCTTCTGTCAGACATAATTCCTCAGTTTAGCCTTCCCACCTCTATACAGTCCGATAATGGACTGGCCTTTATTAGTCAAATCACCCAAGCAGTTTTTCAGGCTTTTGGTATTCAGTGAAACCTTTATGTCCTTTACTGTCCTCAATCTTCAGGAAAAGTAGAACAGACTAACAGTCTTTTAAAAACACACCTCTCCAAACTCAGTCACCAACTTAAAAAGGACTAGACAATACTTTTACCACTTTCCCTTCTCAGAATTCCGGCCTGTCCTCGGAATGCTACAGGTTCCAGCCCATTTGAGCTCCTGTGTGGATGCTTCTTTTTATTATGTCCCGGTCTCATTCCAGACACCAGCCCAACTTGAACTGCACCCCAAAAACTTGGGTAGAGCCTAAAAACTCACCAACCAAGCAAGTAATTACGCTGAACCCCCTTAGGTTGTCTCTAATTGGATGTCCTAAGTCCTCCCAATTCTTAGTCCTTTAATACCTGTTTTTTCTCCTTCTCTTATTTGGACCTTGTGTCTTCCGTTTAGTTTTTCAGTTTATACAAAACTGCATCCAGGCCATCACCAATCATTCTATACGACCAATGATCCTTCTAACAACCCCGCAATATCGCCTCTTAACACAAAATCTTCCTTCAGCTTAATCTCTCCCACTCGAGGTTCCCATGACGCCCCAATCCCGCTTGAAGCAGCTCTGAGAAACATCGCCCATTATCTCTTCATACCACACCCCAAAAACTTTCACTGCCCCAGCACTTCAACACTATTTTGTTTTATTTTTCTTATTAATATAAGAAGACAGGAATGTCAGGCCTCTGAGCCAAAGCTAAGCCATCATATCCCCTGTGACCTGCATGTACACATCTGGATGGCCGGTTGCTGCCTTAACTGATGACATTCCACCACAAAAGAAGTGAAAATGGCCTGTTGCTGCCTTAACTGATGGCATTACTTTGTGAAATTCCTTTTCCTGGCTCATCCTGGCTGAAAAGCTCCCCCACTGAGCACCTTGTGACCTGCACCCCTGCCCACCAGAGAACAACCCCCTTTGACTGTGATTTTCCTTTACCTACCCAAATCCTATAAAACAGCCCCACCCCTATCTCCCTTCGCTGACTCTCTTTTTGGATTCAGCCCACCTGAACCCAGGTGAAATAAACAGCCTTGTTGCTCACACAAAGCCTGTTTGGTGGTCTCTTCACACGGTCGCGCATGAAAATCACCAACTTCATTCGGCTCAGGACAGAAGGCACAGATGGGAGCATCTTACTGCACTCTCTAGAAAGGCTCACCATTTTTACATCCATATTACAATGTGTGCTGGATCCAGCTTCCATATTCATTGTTCCAGTCACATCATATGTTTCCTCAGATGCCTTTATAAGTTTTTCATAGCCATCTCTTCATCAGTTTAAAATTATTTGTTATTGTGTTAAATTGTGAGTCCATCTAACTTTATCAACTTTGCATACATATTGACTCAAATTATTTTAGGCTGATGGGTCTCTCTCCTGTTCTTTAAAATGAAATTTGAAAGGAGACTTCACAATCTGTGCCAATAACCTATTTTTTAACTTTTAAAAAATAATTGACCTTATGGGAAAAATGAAACCGTTTTCTAAATAATCATATCCAGTAAATGATTGAAAAGCATTTGAAAAATGCAGAAACCTTGGATCTTGAATAATGACGTTTGATAATAAATATATTGCTTCTTTGTCTTTAAATCAACTACTGTTTCCTTTTTCAGCTAGTTAGACAGCAAAAAAATTAAGAAAGACAAGTCCTTACCTTTTCCTTGACTGCTTCCAGTTCTGCATCTGTAATTTTCCATGGAGTTTCTCTTTTTAATTTCTCAGCAGTTGTTAAATCTTTGCAGCTTTCATGGAGACGATATGGTTCAATCATCTCTTCAAAGACTTTCCAGCTAAAATTTGAATTATAAAGGAGGCCTCACAGTGGGAAACTAACTCATTATTTCACAGATACTCCAGGTATGACTGGCTCTGCTGGCTGTGGAATCAGAGCTGAATATCATGCAAATCTTTTAAGAATTATCTTTGCAGGGAATTTACTGTGAGTAAAACCATGGCTACAGTACACCCTCCCTACCCCAGAAAAGGCTTTAGTGTGTTCGAGGCCTTGTTAGCCTATTAGGTATTAGATCTTCAATATTATCACACAAACACATAGGTAGTAATTGTTCTGCAAATACATTTTCTGCATCGTGTAGTCAAAGACATAGTTGTAATGTAGATACTTCAGCACACAAATGAGTTTCCACCTGCTTATTGTACAGACTCTATGGGAGAAATTCATCAATTAACGTAGGAAATGGATATGGCTACCCTCACCCTTAGTCCACATGGCAACTCCCACTCATGGCAGGAGGCCGCTGGCAGGTAGGAGGAGAACAGCAAGGGCTCCCACAAGTTTAATGATTGTGGAACAATTTGGATGCTTTCTGCAAATAATGCTCCCCTTGTCCTTTTGCTGTTTGATGTTGCTGTCTGAGATTTTCAAATGAGTATTATTCAGGTTCATGTTAGGAGAAAGAACAAAAATCAATAATGTTTTAATGCCTAAAAATCTGACACTATGTTAAAACATTTAAAAAGAAATTGCTGAGGAGAAAACTAGCAGCTAAGAGCTACAGAACATTTTAAAAATTATAAGAATCTCATAAGATTTATTTTTAAAAACAATGATACAAAGTAAAACTTACATTTACGGCAGTAGTTGTCTCTAGTGTGCTACTTTAAGATGATCTCAAGAACAATTTATTTGGTTTTATATAATGTAGCTTAGTTATAATTTAGTAATTTTGGAATGATAATAATTAGAATCAATATGCTGTTAAGTCAGGAAATGAAAATATGAAGTAATGAGTTCAATTATCTCACCAACTGGCCTGATTTAGGATTTGCAGATAAAAGTGCAGAGATTACAAAGGAGCAGGATTGTCCCTACTAGCGAGCCTTTGTTAAGAGACTGAAAAGATACTTAATGCGTTAGGGCTTCCATTGCATTGACTTATTTAGAAAGGTAGGCAAAGACAGGGAAAGAATAAGACTGATAGGCCCTATTATTCTTTCAACTTTGATTTCCTATTTCAACAGTGTCGTGCCTTTAGAGACCTCTGGGAGTGGTCATCACTATGGAAAGGTGCTGGCTTCGGAGAGTAGGATCTGGGTTCTTGCTCCAGCTCTTGCATTGTTCTCCTTGGCCTGGATATTCTAGGCTATAAAAGGGGAGTAACCATGGCTGCTAGAAGGGGAGTAACAATGGCTGCTAGAAACTGGTTTGAGAGTCACTGTGATAATTTGGGTGACAGTGCTCTGAAAAGCATGCAGTGCCTTGGAAAGGCAAGACGTTCACTTTACTCAGCAGCCACAGGATTGACGTTAGCAGTGGAGAGGCTTTCTGTTTAAGCTCTTCATATACTTATTTTGATCAGGATGAGAGTTTCTTTGCAGCTCAACCCAAATTCTTGTTAGAAAGCACAGTACAAAAATAGTTTCCTAAGGAATAGAAGGTGGAGTAGAGGTTGCTGGTTGTCTCCCCAGCAACTGTACTATGTTTTCCTCATTGTAGTTTCAGTGGGAATGACTTCATTGCCAGCATAGACAATCAGCACAACTCTATGTCTTCTTCCAGAGTGATTGGCCAGGTGGGCACATAACATAGGGAAACTTGAACCAATAAGTACCCATTACTATGCTGACCACAGTAATGTCTCAGTGGCTTAGGTTAGTGAAACCTGAAAGGAGCCCTGGACCCTGAGCTCACTAATTTGAGAAGAGACAAACTTTCTCTCTTATGGAACATACATGAGCGAGTGGGTAGTCCTGGTTGCAATTGACAGTCATCTTGTTTTTATAAGTGAAATCAACTTTGATGGATGCTTTTATTAAAAAAAAAAGTAAAGTAGGGAGACTGAAAGAGAATTAGTCCTTGATTACAAAATTAACCTAGATCAAGCTTAGCCTGAAATCCAAAATATGATTGTATTTTTAAGTTACATATGAAAGTAATTCCTATTGTCTAAATCACTGTGAGTTAAGTTTTCTTTTACTTGCAATTGAAACATGCTAAGTGACACGGGATGATAACGGGGCTGTATTTGCCCATTTTTGTCTTTGAACACTTACTGCTCCTTCTCTGTGTTCATCTTTGATTTGTCTATCCTTTGGATCATCTTTGAACTGGCTATTTTTCATTCTCTTCGCTAGGGGATCCTGACGTAGCTCAAGATTTCTATTTTGATTCTCATTAAATCTGATTTTTTCCTTATAAGTATTTTTAATTGACTCTAGAATAAGCCAAGTGTTACATGCTATTAAATATAAATAAGAATTCAATTGTTAAAATTAACTACTGCCTTCCCCATCCTTGTTCCTCATAACAAAGTTTAAAATTTTTAAAATTGCATAATATTTTCCCCCCAAGTCCACATAAAATTTCTTCTCTCAAAGTAATGTACCAATTGTTTCTGGGACTACTCTAGCATCTTTAAACTAAATTACCTACTTAATTGCTTCTAGTTTCTCTTTGATTTCCACATAAAGATTGTTGTCTTTTTGTCCTAAGACTTTTAATTCAGTCTATACAATAAAAAATGGAATTTAAGCACAAGAGCTTTTCAGTTTCTCCTGGCTCAATTATTTTCTCATTAACTTTGCTTTTATACTCCCTTTCACCCTTGCCCTACCATGTTTATAGATAATGTTTCTATGATAAAATTCCTCCATCAAGACTTACTGATGTTTTATGGGTAGTTGAAAGATTTATTAAAGGCAATTTGAGGGCATTTAAAATTAGCTTCCAACATGGAAATCATTGACAAGCTATTTTTGACATATTGTGTATCACCTGGTGACCAAGAAAGAATAGTGATCAGGGGATAGTTGTTAACAGTAGGTAGGAGCTGCCTGGCCAAGGTCCAGGTGGGAGCTGAAATTGAGCCAGTGCTCTATTTTCTAAACGTTAGCTCCTGGGTCTGGGGCTGCATCAGCCCAGAGGAAGAGTTCTCTTTCTCTGATTAGACCATCCAGAGGAGTTGCCTTAATTAAGGTATTACAAATATGCCAGATGCGCTACTAGTGGCCATCTGTGAGATTTACTGAATGACCGTACTGTGTTCTACATTAGGGTTACTTTCAAGTATTGGAACAGCCATTGCCAACATCAGATAGGGACTGTTTTATAAAGTAATATGACATCACTGTGGCAGGAGGCTGAAGAGAAGAGGATGGCTCTTCCAGCACACTCCTTCTGGTGGCCTCCTGTTTCGTCAGCAGGGTATATTGGTCACAAGGATTCTTTTATTTTAGTAAGAATGGATTTTTTTTTCCTGCATTTTCCTTAATACCTTGAAACAACAGAGAGAAAACATCCAAAATTTTGAAAACTAATTGATTTCCTGACAAAAAAAATTAATTCTCTTTATTCCAGGATAATGAGGACATGTGACAAACACCAAATGAACACAGTGGACATCAGAAGAGGACATCCTGGGACAAAGGTCAGAGTAGTAAGAAGAAGAGTGTCCAGACTACGAAAAGTATTCAAAGAAAAAAGAGGCTTGGTTAATGGAAGAGGTACATCAGCCTTAGCAATAGGACAGAAAGGATGGCTATGCAGGGTGGTGACTGTGGCAGCTGGACAGACTAGTATGAAAGAAGGAGAAGGATATAAGGACCTGGGTTGAGAAAACTAGACTGACAAGTAAAGAGACAAAGAAATATAGGCACAAATTAGTCAGCAAAACATTGATAATGTCAGCAAACACTGGTAATGCTTAGCTAAGGATAAGACCAACAACCGCAAGGAGAATTTGGCTACAAGAAGTGGGTGAGGCCAGGTGTGCTGGCTCATGCCTGTCATTCCAGTACTTTGGGAAGCCAAGGTGGCAGGATCAGTTAAGCCCAGGGATTTGAGACCAGTCAGGGCAACATAGTGAGACTTTTTCTTTACCAGAAAAAAAGCTGGGGGTAGTGGCTCATGCCTGTAGACCCAGCTACTCAAGAGGCTGAGGCAGGAGGATCTCTTGAGCCCGTAAGTTAGAGGCTACGATGAGCTATGATTGTACCACTGCAACCTAGCCTAGATGACAGTGAGATCCTGTCTCAAAAAAAAAAAAAAAAAAAAAAAAGGTGGATAGTTCATGTTCAGTAGGGCTTATAGGAAATCCAAAGTCAGTAGAAGACACAGTGACTACCCACTAGACAACAGAAAATGGCCCTATCTTGCAGAGCACTGGCCGGCTATGCCCTATTGCTAAGTGGCATGTACTAAGGAATTGTTGGACTTGCTAAGGAATTGTTGGACTTGCTGATATGAAAGAGGATGTATTTCTACCAATTAGAGCCATATGATGAGCTTGTTTGATTATATCGCTGCAAATGCCAAAATGCAATGATATAGAGAATGGAAATTCTTTGAATAAAAAGTGGAAGGCTACCAGAGATTACTGTATGACAACCCAGTTAATATCAGAATGTTAATTACATTTGTCAATGAGAATTATGTGTTCTTAGTTTTTCTTATGCATTTATAACTATAGAAATACAAGAATGTAATGCATTACAGTATGATGTAAAGAAATATCACAAAGTAATAACCAGTTTCACCCTGTCGATTATAGCTTTCTTATCACAGTTAATTT